TTTGAGGTGGATCCCATCATCTCCCATCCATAAATATCTCCAGGTTTGGGGTTTTTCTTCCTACAATTTCTTGGGTCATAAAAACCTTCATTATTGCCCTTGTAACCTACATTTTGTGGTGGCACTGGTGCAGGAGAAGACCTAAACAAGGGGAAGAGGGAAAGGAGGGGCAGATCTTTGTGTCTGAGGTCTTCAAGGTCATTCCTTCTATCAGCAGACACAAAATGGGGGGAAATCTATAAAAATACACTGATTTTTTTAAAAATAAATCATAGTTTCTAAGTGATGATCAATGTGGGAAACACCACAGAGGAGAAACCACCCTTCCACCACGCTGGACATCACCCTTGGTGACTTTGAAGCTTGATCAAGTTGGTTTTGGTTATAATTAACAATTGTGGTGAGGAAGGTGCTTGTTGAGTCATGAAAAAAGCTGGTGAGAAGATCCAAACCCCACCCAATGATGTATTGAAAGCAATCAGGTGACCACTGGGATGATTTTGTGCTCTGATGATGACCAAGATGGGTGGTGACACCTCTAGGAAGGTGACTATGCTTGGATAATCCATGTGTTGTGTGATGGTAGATGTCTCATCTTGCCCAGGAACTGAAGATATTTTTCTCCTACAGCTGAAAAAATAATGAAATCTGGTTTTTTTTTTCAACCCCCAAAATTTGTATCTTGGATTAAAAATCCAAGTTGGAGACGTTGATCTGCTGAGGTGACACCAACGAGCATGTCCTTGGCAGGGACACTCCAGGCAGCACATTCCTCTCCTGAAATAGAGTTGATATTTTCCCTCTGTCCTCTGTGTGACCCGACTCTGAGCTCACACAGCTCCAGGGTGGTTGGAGAAGAGTCCTACAGACTCAACCACCTCTTAAAAGAAGGAAGATCTCCCCCAAAAAAAGAAAGATCTCCCCCAAAAAAGAGGATTTTGCTGCTGTCTGATGGGTAAGTGTCACTTTGGAGATGGTTGGGGACATCTTGACAAGGAGAACCGGTGGCATCGTGACCACTGAGATATTTTTTTCCAAGTTTAAAGATGAAGGGTTGTTAAATTTGGGGGGGGGTGTTGGGGTCTGTCCATGGTGGTCCCACCTGTCATGGGGTTGGGTTGGGTTGGGTTGGGTTGGGTTGGTGACCCTACTTCAGAAATGCTTCCAGGTTCTGCATCTGCTACGTGGATGGATTCAAATTAACTCTCAATAAAGAGAAAGCAGCAAGAAGACACCAAAAGTGCTTCCCAACGCCGTTTCTGAGCAGGTGGACATCATCAGAGGGTTCCTCCATCACCAACTTCACCATAAGGCTTTGGTTTGGGTTTGGAAGGGTGAGGAACAAAGTTGGGGGGGACACCAGGTCATGTCCCATCAAGGGTATGGGTTAGAACCTGGAGTTTTGGGGATGAAATACCAGTTCCTGGTGGGTAGGAAGGTTGGTTGCTTCTCCTTTGGCCATCCCAGGAGTGGAGACACCAACCTGAGATGTCAAAGCTCGTGGTGGAGCTCTGGTGTCTACGTTCTCGTACGTAGAAATGAGCTTCAGTGCCCTGGAGATGGACATTAAAGTCCAAAGCTTGTTAGAGAGTGACTCATCCCTTCCTGAAATTAACATCCAAAGGAGGTGAGAACTTCTCTCTGATGTTCCTCCTTCCTCCACCCATCTTGACATCTTTGATGTGTTCACCTCACTGCAGGAACAAGAGAAGCTGGAGAAGCTGCTGCCATGGCCTCTGCTTCATCTAGAGCAAAGAAAGATGTAGAAGAAAGTACCCACCACACCATCCTGCACCATTGGCCAGATCCTGGTCACCTGGGTTGTGACCCCACCATCTGCAGAGGTGGCACAGCCCGATCCTGGTCGGAACGAGGAAGATCTGGAGATGTTGAGGTGTTTGGTCACCAAAATTGGCTCAGGAAAGGAAAATTCCAACCAAAAGAGCATTTGGAGCATTTAGTGGAGAAGCTGAAGCTCTTGTGTCTGGATGGAGGCAAGGAGGAGAAGGAACATCTCTGCTCATGGTGCAAGAGAATGGTCACCTTCAAGGGTGGTGCAAGAACATCCAGCTGTGATGGACCAAGAGCTCATGGAGGTCCTGTAGAAGAACCCACCCAGGAGGACAGGGTGAGCTCCATGACCTCATGGTTTCTTTGAGGTTCTCAAGATCACAAACTCCAAGTGTCCCATCATTCCCCACCCCACCTCTAGACACCCTTCCAAACCATCTTTTATCTTCTTCTAGGAGCAGATACGTGGTGACCTGGAGAAGCTCCAGAAACAAAAGGAAGAGCTTTTGGAATTGAAAAGAAGTGGAGAGAGGAGATGCCAAGAGTATTTGGTAAGGAGCCATCACCTAGAAGAAATGGAGATGTTGGACCAACGTGGTCCATGTTGTCATTGTCTTTCCACGTCCCACAGACACAGACCGAGGTCCAGAGGCAGAAGATCGTGTCTGAGTTTCGAGAGCTGCGCCGGTTTCTGAAGGATCAAGAACTTCTCCTCCTGGTTCAACTGGGAGAGTTGGACAGAGAGATGATGAAGAAGCAGGAGGAAGAGGAGACCAAGATGTCTGGGGAGATTTCACTCCTTGACATCCTGATCTGTGAGATGGAGAAGAAGGTTGAGGAACCTACGAGTGGATTCCTGCAGGTCAGATGTTCTACTGGGCAAGATGCTTCCATCTTGGGTCTGATGTCACCTTGGCTGGATTCTTCTTTCACTTTTGGGATGGGAAGACCAAAATTTGGGGGCTTTTCTTTCTTCTTCTGTTCCAGGATGTCCAGAGAGCTGTGGACAGGTACGTGCTCTTCCACCACCCACATCTCAACGGTGGAGGAAGGTTCACAGGCAACATCCTCACGGTTTCTGGGACAGAGATGGAAGTTTTGGTAGCTCAGACAGGGTTTGAAGTGAGGTGTGGAGATAAGAAGTTGCCCCTGAACCTCAGTGTGGGGACACCATGAGAGGAAGCACCCTAATTCTGGAGGTCCTCTTGGCCACCAGGGCAATGGGGAACCAAGTGTCCTCCTGGGCTGAGCTAGTTGGCATCTCCAAGCCTGGATCAGAAGGACATTTTGGGGACAACCAGCTCATCCATCATCCCAGTGGTGCCAAGGGAGGAGGGATGGTCCCAACATCTCACGCCATCGTGACGAGTCCCGTATCTTAAGAGGAACCATTTGCATCCAGGTGGGATGTGGGCAGTGCCTGGAGGACAACAAAGACCTTCTCAGACCTCGAGAAGAGGCTCCACGTCATTTCTCAACAGAACAATGTCCTCAGAGAGACCCTGAGGAGATTTCAAGGTACTGTGGAGCATGATGAGGTCGGTTGGTGGGGTCTCTCTCCACCATGATGGGTGGGGACAGCTCTGCCTGCTGCTGGTTTTCCTGGTTTTCCAGGAAAAACACAACTGGGCCAAGAGTGAGTGGAGTTACCAGCTGGAGAACGTGATGTCCAACCTTTGTCCTTCCTCCTCTAGATGTTTTACCATCTGAACTGGAGAAAGAGCAAGGACCATCTCTAGGAGGAGATGGACCAGGTGAGATGTTTTTTTGGAGGAGCAGCTACAAGGGAAGGTTCCAGCAAAGTCATTTTTTAGCCAAAATAGCACTTAAAATGGGTGGGAAATGATGAGTTGAGGTCAATTGAAGAACCTCATCTTGAGGTTCAAGAACCTCATCTTGAAGATACAAAGGAGCTCTTGCCCACTCCCCCAGCATGAAGACATGGAGATGTTTCTGCTCCCAAGCTCAGGACGTTGGCAGATCATAGAATGGGTTGGGTTGGGTTGGGTTGGGTTGGGTTGGGTTGGAAAGAACCTTCAAGATCATTTAGTTCAACCCCCACCTTGAGATGATCTTCTACTGGACCAGGTTGCTCAAAGCATCATCCAACCTGGGCTTCAACACTTCCAGGGAGGAGCAACCACAGCTTCTCTGGTCAACCTGGTTCAGTGTCCTCACACACTGAGGATGGGGCTTGTCCCACCTGGACCAGGGCTTTATTGGAGGGGGTGGGTGATGTCCTCCTCCAACACCATGTTCTTCTCCATCCTTGACAGCATTTGTGACTCTGGACCCTGCCACCTCCAACCCTCAACTCATCCTGTCCCGGGACCGGCGAGGGGTGAGATGGACAGATGAAGAACAAGATCTACCCACCACCCCTCAACGATTCGATGTCTCCTGCTGCGTGATGGGCTACCAAGGCTTCACCACGGGGAGACACTGGTGGGAGGTGGAGGTGGCCAAAAGCAGGACCTGGGCGGTGGGGGTGGCCCGATGCTCCGTGTCCAGGAAGGGTTGGGTTGAGTCTCAACCAGAGAAGGGGATCTGGGTGGTGGGACGGTGTGGGAACCAATATCGCGCCTTCACTTCCCCCATCACCACAGTGGAGAAACTGGGAGGGTGGGGGTGACACTGGACTATGATGGGGGACAAGTGACATTTCACTTCTCCAAGCAGGAGCCCCCCATCTTTACCTTCCACAAGGTCTCGTTTGGTGGAGAAACCATCTTCCCTTTCTTCTGGGTGGGGAGATGGTCCCACCTCCACCTCTACCCATGAGGGTTTGTTTTTCCCCCTCTCCACATCTTCTGGGCATCAGGTGGTGGGACCATGTCCCAGAGGTGACATCACAACTCCCCCCT